CATAAACTGTGAGAGTAGAGGAGGGTGGGGTGGGGTGAGGAGGGAGATGGTGAGCAGGATATCATGAGACCACTTCTCACTTTACGTCATTTTTATGTTTTTTACAAGCCATTTAGCTCCTGAACAATGATGGATCTCAACTGTTTGGTGGTCAGCCCACCAGCAATTTAGCCTGTCACCGGCTTGAGAAATGAGTCATGAGAGAGGAATAAGCTCTGACCATCCCATAAGTGGCCTCAGAGAGGGCTCCCATTATTTCTGCAGACCTTCAGAAACCAATAAAGACAGAGACATTGGTAAGTGATGCACGAAATCTCTCGTATCACAGAGGAGGCTCTGAGTTCAAATTAGAGCTGAGCTTGAGTTTGACAAGAATCTGATAATGTCAGGCTCACACTGGGACGTGTAATGACTCACATATTAAAATCTTTTTTTGGCATGACAGTGGGAGTTTTGTTCTAAAACTGGAATATAGCCACTTAAATTTTATAACTTAATGCTTTTATTACTTAATCTTAAACCTTTAAATTTCATGATTGCACAGAAATGAGGACTGTGGACTTTGTCCCCAATCACTCACATTGAAAGTGCTTTAAAGCTCCTCCAGTGTAAAGGTCTCTGTCCATGTGTAGTGTGATTATAGATCAGCTCTAGCTTCTATATTAATACTGTGAAAGTATCAAAGCCTCAGTCCACAGAGAAATGCACACAGCCTGTATTCAGAAACTGAGCCTTAAAACCAGCCGTCAGGACTTCTGGAACTTTGTGATGTCACAACAAAGCAGTCACCAAGCCCCGCCCACCTGGACACACCATCCAAACCTTGCAGGATTTGGTTTCTCTGAGTGTTTTACCTGAAATCTGCTTTATTTTTATTGGATCACTCAGAAAACAGTCAAACTAAATCTGCAACACTGATGGCAACTTGGACGAAAGTGCAGGAGGATGCTCGGGCTTTAATTTGAAAGAAAATCTATTGATCATGTTTATGTCTTAAGACGAAGTTCTCTTAATCTCACTGATGTGTCCAGAGCTGAGACAACCTGCAACAACCCAACAGAGTTCTGACTCCAACGTCACGTCCTTCTCAGCGTAATCTATCATGATGTTATCCGTTGTTTGATATGTTCTCCACGCAGCAGGAAAACTGTGCGCAAACAATCGCCATGCTCCTCTCTGGTCCCTGTTGTGCTGTCATGGGAACGGCAGTTGCTGTTATGAAACCAAACAAGGGGGCAGACGCTGCTGAACGTCCCCCCGTTAGCCTCCCACACAGATTACTGAGCTGAATTAGCAGAATGATCTCATGGTTCCTGTCTTATCAGTTGGACTCGGGCTGCCGCTGGAGAACACAGCGACACTGTGACTGAGTTTGAAGGCAAATGGAAGAATGAAAGAAGAGTTCAGAGACTTGGAAAGTCTATGACAAGAAACACTGAAGACGTCCTGGAGGATCGTAGTCGTCTAAGACACCAATAAAGGTCACTGTGTCACCCATCTGTAAATATCCTTCCTCTTCATTCTGGTTCTGTCATTTTTACTCCCATTATTTAGCATCAACCCAAAGGGCCAGTGTAGGTCTGAACACAGGCATCATAAAGTAATATCGTTGTCTAATATTGTGTCTCATATCCAGATAAAACCAGAAATCTGACTGCATCCATCTTGGTTTTCACAAGCAACGTGTAAAACAGGGTCAGCTCTATTCCAGTCCAGAGGGTGGTTGGTAATGTAAAACAAGCATAGCCTGTGCACATGTGCAGATTAAGCGCTGCTCCGGGATCAGATAAACAAAACAAACAGGCTGACAGAGGGGGATTTGCATGTTTAACATTCAAATGAAAATAAATAAATGAAACAAAATGAAAGTCTTCAGTAGAAATAATCCACAATGCCCCAGGTCCTGGTTTCTGCTGCTCATAGAGAGGGGATTCAAAATAACTTGTGCAATGAAAACAGTGGGAAAAAAAGAAAAGCCAATAATGGAGAGAAAGGTCCCGGGAGACGTGGGCAGGGCAGAGCATGCTGGGTACGATAACACAGAGGAGGTCGAGTCCCTCTGTTTGTTGTTTGGCTTTTACAAAGATCAACTGGGCCACATTTTCCTAATTTAACCAGGAGGGTCGTCACAGGCCGTCGCCTGGAGGGACACGCTGTCCTGACGTCCAGATGCAACAGGTTTAGTGCCCTTGAGCAAAACACCGAGCATTCACTAAATGGTGTAAGAGGACAGAAGTATTAACTGATGACATGTTCATTAGGATTAAGTCTATTGGATGATTTGGCCCAAACATTCATGTTCCCCTCAGGATCCACTGACCTTTCCTCTAGCGCCACCATCTGGCAAAAACGTCAACTTTCAAACCAAATACCTCCAATCAAAAAGGGCGCAGCAGCAATTCCCAAATTTAAATTAATTCATCAATTTACGGCTTAATTTCATCCAACAATGTCACTGAAACAAAGTGGAAAATATCACTTTTTATAAATTACTAATTAGCACTAATTGGCACCCAAACCTTCCCCTGGAAAAATCCAGTGGCAGCCCAGTTATTCCAGTTATTTCTGTCTTGTGCTGGGACTGTGCATAGATGAGCCGCTTTGTTCTGACACCATGACCTTTCCTCCAGTGGCTCCCTGAGGTCAAAATATCAACTTTCCACACAGTATGCTTCATTATAAAAAAAGACAAATTGCCATGAATCATGTTGAGTGGATTCCTGAGACCAAAGCGAAGACCCTTTTGGATTTCAATGACCCCATGACCTTCGCTCTACCACTGGCTGTCCTCAGGACAAACTTTACCATAACATGCTCCATATTTGCCCTGTTGCTGGAAAGATTCCCAGAATATCTGAATCATCTGCTTGTTGTTTCTGCTTCTTAAATAAATCAAATAGTTTCCTCAAACTGTCTTTTAAAAATCAGCACTTCATTTTGTTTTCAGCTTCGTGCTCTTCTCATCGCTTTTACCATCATGGCACTACCATTCACCAAACTGTACAACTTCACTGCCTCAAAACCCATGCTGTTCAGTCTGACACAGATCTATGAGACCTGTCTCTCAGGATGCGACGTGATGAACTTAATATGATTGTTGTTACTGCAGTCGGTCAGTGCCTCATATTAACAACGTTCTGATCTCGTCTCCATCGCCACCAGTGCTTTTCTGCTGCATCATCTCAGCTCTGTCTCCGTCTCCGGCTCCGTATCAGTAAAGAGCAGCTCGCCCCCCCCAGAGAGCAGAGCTTAAGTACTCTGGTAAAAGATCTATTAAATTAATGCTTTCTAATGCACCGCTTCCTGAAACGAGCCTTTACTGGGCTGTAAATGAAAGAAAAAGTCACTGATTCACTGAGCGAGTGTCTCACAGAGACTCCATTCATGAGTCAGTATGAACGCACTCAGACACTCAGCGTGGGTTAGTGGGTGTACCTTCAGTTCCAGTAACACATATCACAGTCCTCACTTGAAACGCTTCAACTTATTTATACCAAATATTTACTTGATATTGTGTTTTAGGGAGTTTATTTACTCACTAATGTCATTCTGTCTCCATGTTGTAATTCTGCTGCTGCTGCTGCTGCTGCTGCTGCTGCTTCTGTCAACTCTGCATTTACAACATCTGCAGCATCTGGTTGGAGTTTTTGTGTCAAGTCAAATGTTGTACAGACTTTAAAGCCCTCAGAGATACATTTTTGTGATTTCAGACCATATAAATGAACTTTACATGGGATAAAAAAAAGAACAAATGTGTTTTTTAAATTCTTTAACAGGACACCTATTCATCACAGGGGTTACAGTAACAGCCAGGGCAGGACTGAGTCTCTGGGGCGCCCCGGGGCAACAATGAACTGTTGACCTCCCCGATTAGAACATAGCAACTAGTTTGTCCTCTGACAAAGAGCAAGTGTATTTAGGAATATGTGCCATGTAATTGCAGAATAATCTGGAGATGATGTGACGGTGCAGGTGATATTGTAATAAGTTCATTAATGTGAAGAAGAACACGTGAGAACGTCTCCACCTTACAATGCCTCATGGTTGAAAATCAATAAAAGAATTTGGGAAAAAAAAAGTTAATATTACTTAATTAATTGTGCTTTATTGGTACTAAAACAAAATGTGTGAGTAATGGGATTACTACAAATTAATTGCTACGTGTTGAGCCTGAAATCTTGCAGCCCCATGAGGGTCGGGGGCTCCAGCACACTTGGCTGCTTCACAGTGAGCCAAGTTTATTCATGAAGTACTGTTAATAAAAATATACCTCAGGGTGAATCGCTAAGCAACAAAACAATAACAACAAAACAGAAATAATTTGTTGACAGTTTTGGCCGCTGTATATATTTACACTATTTTCCAGTGGTGGTCACTAAGTACTCAAGCAGTGTACTCAGGTACATGTACTTTACTTGACTACTTCATCTTGCCATATTTTCCTAAATGGAAACTACAGTGTGTTTATGACAGTAAAAGTTACCTGACACTTAAAAACACTTAAAACCTATAAATACTCAACAATGTATAAAATCAGCTCCACAGCCAAACTGCAGCTGAGTCAACTGTCAATATTAACATATATAATATATAACACTGACAGGGACATATCAGAACTTATACTTTTGACACTTTTGCTGATAATAACAATAATAATTAACGTCACCAAAGCCAGAAACAATGTCTAAACATTATTTTTCTGATCAGTGTTCAATTAACAGTCTCACAATTATCAAACATCTGTCGATCAGTTCATCCACAAAACTGACAAATCATAACACTGTCCTGGTCAAAGGATATTACATTATTGTTGTTTAATATTCAAAAGTTGTGATAAGCATGTTCTTTTAATATATTATATTTTATTATATTTGATATCTATGTTTGATTATTACAGATACATCAACAGACAAACAGTGGAAGTTTGTCTACTGAACTTTTCTAAGCGTAAACAACAGTCAGCCTTTAACAAACAGCTGAGTGAACTCACTCTGTCTTACCTGCTCTCTCAGCTCTTCCAAGGTGTTTCAGATCAGTTCAGTCCCAAAGTGACTCTGGTTCGCCGGTCAGCACTCACAACATTACTGTGTTTATATGAGTAGAGTCTGAAATGTCTTTGTCTCCTTTTCTTCTTAAATCCAACCTGCACTTTTTCTTCTTCTCTGCCAAAGTTGGAGTCGCAGCGTGAAGCTTCGTCCTCTTCAGTGTCCGCTCTGTAAACTCACGGGGCGAGAGAGGGAACAGTTAAAACTGAGGAGAGAGAGAGCAGTAGTTTCAGAGCTGAGAGATGAGAACAGACAGACTCTTCCTTCCACCTTGAATAAAATCAGTTCTTCTTTTCGCCACAAGATGTTCAGCCTCCCTCTGTCTCTGAGTCTGGTCAGGAGTGAGAGTCTGCTCTATATTTAACCTGTGCTCTCAGTCTGTGTTAGCAGCTGAACGACTGACTGAGGCTTTTCCAAACCCCCCCAACAGCTGAACTATCATCCCCGTCCAGCAGCCTGACCACTCCTCCTCCTCCTCCTCCTCCTCCTCCTCCTCCTCCTCCTCCTCCTGCCGCTCACAGCCAGGGGCTTGGCTTGGCTCGGCTCGGCTCAGCTCGGTTTGATGAGGTTTGCGTTAGTTGTGCTGCAGGTTTGGTTGAACAGCTTGTTTTGGTTTCTATTTCTCAAAGCCACAAAACCTTCGCTTTGAATTCTGGTCGAGGTCCCAAAGTGGCCGAACATGTCGAGCTGCATGATTTGAAATCAGTCGTTTCAGTTTATCAGTTGTTTTCTCAGTCAGTCCATCACTTTAGTCCGGGCTGAAAGATCTTCACAACTTAACAAATACTTTAGTTCAGACATTCATGCTCCCCAGAGGATGGCCGGCTTCACAAACACAGACTGTGACTGTGTCTCAGATGGAACGGACCTCAGATAGTCTACATTCATCTGTTGCATAAAGCAGTTCAGTTCTTGACTATCTTAGGTCGGACTCTGGTACAATGAACTGTTTTTTCAATATAAAAAAAAAAAGAAAATGGCCGACTCGTATCCAACCAGCTCAGCTCTGCTCACCGCAGCAGAAAATGTTTGTCTTTTGCAAGAATTCAACAGTTACAAAGACGTTTTACTTGAAGAGTGAAACAATAAAAAGAAGAATCGTGTCACTGATTGTTACCACGGTAACATTGGTTTTAGGACTGGGTTAGCCTGGGGGTTCGGTGTGGAGTGTTTCTGGCTTAAAATGAGTCAGTGTTTATTTTAGTGAAAGAATAATACTTGCATTAGACTATGAGCACAATCAAGACTGGACCAACACTACAGACCGGTCTATCTCTGTGATCCCCTGTCTTCTCCTCTAGCGCCACCATGAGGTTGACGTTTCTGCTTTCTGACTGATCTGTATCAACAGCTATTGGATGAATCGTCATGTCGTCCTCCGAATGAATTATAATAACTAACAGTAATGGCACTCTCGTTAGCCTTAGCTGGGCTTCCTGCTAATTGGCACGTGTGACCATGCTAACACACGAAACCAAGATGGTGAACATAGTGAACATGATCCCTGATTAACAAGCATGCTAACATCGCCATTGTGAGCATGTCGGCACTTAGCTCAAAGCACCGCTGTGCCACAGGCTCACAGAGCTGCAGTCATGGCTCTGGACTCTGACATTTACTGAGGAAGTAAACACAAGCTCTGGATCTGGATATTTGACTCTGTGTTAATACAAGAGCTGGAACGAGCGGATACAGAATACGTAAGATAAGAAAAGATAAGAAACAGCACAACAGCTGCATACAAGGTAAAATACAACAATATGAAAACAACACAACAACACATACACAACAACATATAAAAAAACAGAGTTCAAACAATGAAGTTTAAATCCAGACGTGCAAAAGAGGCAATGTCAAGAATAAAGAGATTAAGAGGAGAATGATCAATAAGACAAATTAAAACAATAGACTGTAAAAAATGACTGATTCAAGGTCACACAGGTGCAACTCAAGGTTTTTTTTACTTTTCAATTAACTAATTAACTTGTGAAGTTGCTCATGTCATGCAAATGTGCTTTAATGTTAGAAGCCAAACAGGATTAAAAGATATAGAGTTTAGTCTGGTTGAAACAGGTTGGGCCAAAGGTTTGGTTTATGTTGACATAGCAACACTATGAAAAACCTTTAAGGTCTGGTATTTGTTCAAATTAATTTAATAAACTTTAAAACTTTTTCAGGACCTGATCATGGCAAATAGAGCAAGAGCATAAAGCATTAGAATAAAAAGATGTACAGGAAAAAGAGCGTTTTGACTTTTATTAATGTCAGAAATCAGCTAACAGCAGTTAACAAGTTTATTTTATTCACATTATATGTCCTTCTTCAGCAGAGTTTTAGTGCAGCTCCGTTATGTAAATGAAAGGGTGTGGGCGCTCTCTAATTCCTCTTTATTCATTGTTTTCATTTAAAAAAAAAAAAAAAAAAAAATCCACTTGGACCCGCTCTCCTGACCATCTCAGCAGTTCTTCCGAAGCTGGAGCGAGCGAGGGCCAGAGGAGGCTTTTCAAAACACAAAATGATTTATTCACCGCTGTAAATACGAGAACATTTGTTCCTAATAAAAGCGAGTCTGAGCCGAGTGTTATAAACGGAGGAACGTTGAGAAATTGAGCTTCAAAGTGTGACTTCCAGCTCCAGCAGACACAACACTGCTGACATTAAAGCCTGGCCGGCCTCACAGGGCGGACTGTGTGGTGCTGAACCTCACGCCTCTGATGCTTTACTCATCGGACACAGATTGGACAAAGATATTTTTTATGAATAAACAGTTAAAAGAATTTTTGTTTTGTCCTTCAACACTTCAAAACATGTCAGCCTTCAAAAAATAATCACATCATTTCATAAAGCAAAGTAGTGTAGCCAAAATGGCTTATATAATTTTTAAGCATGCACGCACATACACACAGTTTTTTTTTTTGGAGGTCATCGTGTTCCGCAGAGTTTTCACTTCTCTTCCTGGAAATGTTCAATCTTCTGAAAGTGCCAGATTCACACAGACGTGATGTTGTTGTGTGACACAGCAATCCAAGAAATAAAACAGTTGTTGGACGGCGACATGTTCACACTCCCACACACTGACAGGAGGTCAGTGTTACACAAGATGTACTTGACTCGAGTCATCCATTAGTCTCAGGCATCATGAAGCGATGTCCGACACTTCTGTCTTTATTCACTTCATCATGTCAATCTTTCATTTATCTTTCTGTAAAGAAACGAGCCCACAGGTCGTCTGTGCAGCAGGTTGTTACGACCCATAGTTACGTTTTGTTGCTAGGCGACATCTAATGGTCGTAGGAATTTTGACAGGAGCAAAGGGAAAAGTGTCGGTGACTTAATATAAAGAGAGACAAAGTCCACGTCAGGAGGAGGTTGTGGTGGATGGATGGTTCAACAAACACAAGAGTACAACACGGCAGCGAGGTGTTTTCTATTAACACAACCCTGTGTCACACTGATGAAGCTCCTGAATCCATCTCGCAGGCTGTTTGTGTTTGTTGCATTTCTACCTTTGGACAGATCTGAGGTGGGTTTTTATGATGAAATCACCACAACAACCAAAAATACAAAAGTCTAATCTAGTGATATGACCGAACATGCTCCTTTCATCGTGCTCACAGTCTGTGAGAGTTAAATTGTAACTTAAATGTTTACTAGTGAGGAAAAATTGCACCACTGAAATAATAAATGACGTATTCTGAGACCACACCCGGACCTCCTCCTGCAGTCACAAAGCTAACATACAGCTGCCTCCGTTTCCCTGTTTATCTGTAATGTTCCATTAATTTGAACCTCTGGAGGCGCCGCAGATGAATGAGAGAACTGCTGTGTGATAGTCATCCTAGTGCATTAACACAGGGGAAAGCCATGACTCAGTTCACTCTAATGAGCTGCTCCTGCAACTCTGCACATTTCACTGTGAAATATCAGGCCTGGGAGAGACTACACTGAGGATATAACCTTCTCATTTCTTCAGTGCTCTCATCTGAGGCCAGAGCTGGAGACACAAGCCCCTATTGTTAAAGGTCCCACATTTTACCTGTGTTTCATCTGAAATTTTGATACCTGTAAGAAGATATATTTGTGGTTTTAAGAACCAAAAACCATCTCAGTGGTATCTCCTCTCTCAGGCTTCTCTCTGGAGCTCCAGTAACAACAGGTCGGTGAGCCAATCAGAAGAGAGGAGGCTCTGAGCCTGAGAGCATGCTGGGGGCGTAGCTGAAGGTGGTGACTGCTTTGTTGTGACATCACAAAGTTCCAGAAGTCCTGACGGCTGGTTTTAAGGCTCAGTTTCTGAATACAGGCTGTGTGCATTTCTCTGTGGACTGAGGCTTTGATACTTTCACAGTATTAATATAGAAGCTAGAGCTGATCTATAATCACACTACACATGGACATCTTATTGTCTGTATGGGACCTTTAAAGAGACGCTTAGACGTTTCAGGGAATACAGTTATCTGTCTTCTTTCCAAGATTTAGACGAGAAGATCAATACTAATGTCTGTGTGTTAAGTACAGAGCTGGAGCCAAGAAGAAATTAGCTTAAAATAAAGACTGGAAGCAGAGGCGAAGCAGGTACGTGTAGCAACACCTCTAAATCTTTGTGGATTTAGGTGGAGTTATATGCTGGAAGTATTAAGGCATTTTGCCAAATCTAAAATATAAGTATCATGGCTGTATCAATATTATAAAGACATTTAGCTTTGCATCACGTTTCAATGGTATTTACCTTTGATTAGAGCAATAGTATAGTAATATACACTGTAAAAAAAAAATCCTAATTTTAAAGAAAATAACAGAATTTCACAGTAATTTCCTGTTTTTTAAAAATTGTGTACAAAAGTCTGTAAAATTATCTGTGAATTAACAGCCAAACTTCTATTTTAAGCATTATGCCAATAATAATGAATTACATTTATCCCCCATTTCTGTAAAGACAAAATACTGTATTATTTATACAGTATTTTATAAAGTAACCCAGGTGCTTCTTGTTGTTGTCTTCCTGCCTGGACTTTACTAGGCTGTGTATTTGTGCACCATATACCATAAAAGAAAACAGTACAAATTTGACAGTGACAATTCATTTGCTGTGGCCATCAGATTCCATCAGCTCAGGGAACCGTGTTCAATAAACAAATACACCATGAATGAATGAATCCAAGTTTATGTTAAGTT